GTTTCATTACTATTACTACAACCGTAAGTTGCTTATATGGCATAAATCAGCAGTAGCAGAAAGACATGACGTTGAAACATGGGTCATAAGCTGTCCCACCGCGTCACATTCGCTGGATCCACCTGAAAACTGAATAAAACTGAGCACAAGCTGCAAACGTAAATTTAAAAAATATTGACATCTAAAAGTTTAAAGTTGATATCATCTTTGCCTTCGGGAATTTGCGCAATTTCGAATTTCTACCTTTGAAATTTTGTGACGAATGCGCTTCCAAAAACAAGTTTCCTCTTCGACACTTCCCGATACCATATCGTTCAGAATGCTTTCGGTCCCATTTCACTTTTCCAGTCCATTTTTGAAATCTTGCATCACGAGTACACATGTCGAGTTTAAAGTTAGAAGTTAATCAAGCTGCTGAAAAAACCTCTCCATACTTCGCCTTCGCCTGCGAACATGCCAGCAGCTACCTCTTGCGGTGATTTTCTTATATGTTCAACTGGAGACACACCACGCCACTACGTAGCGATCTTCATTCTCACGAAACAATTCACTAAGAGCTGTTACTGCTATCGAAAGATCTGATATCTCCAAGGAATCTTGCACCCACTGCTTTTCCAAGTATGACTAAGACTCTACCTCACTAGTTCATTTTCGTTTATGACCAGCATCAGTTAAATCGAAGCACTATCATGTCACCATCACTGTCAAAAGGACAGCGGCATGAAAAGCCAAGGTGACCTCCGTCGACTGTTTTTCAATGCTCAATAGGTTTCTGAGTAAATAAAATAAGTCAAGAGTCTAGCAAGACAATCAAGTGCTTGAATTAAGCGCTTCCCTACGTTTCGCATCATCCGTACTTTCGTAAAGCTAGTCTAAGGTTAACGAAGGTCAATCAATAAAGTTTTCTTACCACGAGGCGTCCAGTGCTGTGCGCCGTTTTGTCGATCGTGTACAGAAATCCAGTAGCTGCGTTCGACTCCAAAGACGCACCCAGCGCCAAGGCGGCGACGATTTGGAAAAAACAGATGTGCACCCCGCTGATTGTCGAGCTCGATTTAAACTATAATAGATATTGAATTTATGCACGCTTTAAATAATTTAAACGATCAATAAGCCGATGTCGAGTCCATCGGAGTTGTAAATAAATGTGTTTAAATCTAGATTCCGACGATAACGGCTAATCGAGCTACTAATACTTAGAGGTAATTGACAAGCGCAAACAAGTATGCAGCAACTCCTACTTTTACAGCTAAAGTTTCGGCCAGTTCTGACCAAAACAACAACCGGTCACTCGCACTGACGAAGGCCCATACCTTGCCGAAAACAACACTCAAAACATCAAGGCTGTCTTAAATATTTATTGAATACGCTAAGGAATAAACCCACTTCACGAACACTGAAATATGTCCATGACTGTGTTCCCTGGTCGATGCTTTTGAGTGTCGCAGAAATATGAAGCGGATGACCAGCTACCGGAAGGAAACAGATCTTTACACGCCTGTTCAGAGGTTTATGTCGAGATTAACGGCGAGAATCAACGTAATTCAAGGTGTGTCCTCAACTAAGAGCTTGCTGTCTCATCTTTTTCTTCGAAAGATTTTGGAATGGCTCAGCGGTCGTTCAGGCAGAGAAAATGCACGTCTGAAATACTCGACGGAGACATCTGTTATTCGCGATCACGTTAGCTTCTCACCCAAATGGACATCTAATAGAGTCACTATCATACGGAGGAAGAGATGATTAAGCTTTCCTCAACTAAGGACATTTTTGTCTAACGACGACGCCACTGTAGTGAAAAACTTGCGGTTTCAGTCTGAGAATGAGGGTAGCAGATACATTTACGGACTCGAGGGTAGTATTCTCGAGGGACAATCAGTAAACCATGGTAATTCGATCTCGAGAAGAAGGGGTTGCAACAAATGTTTGTTTGCGTTGACTTACTTTAGGTGATTTAGAAAGAGTCAAAGATTCACCCAGATTTTTGGGGTTTTTTGATACTGGGTTCGATCGATTTCTATTAAGCTGTTAAGCTAATTTATCCTACACATTTCTGACAAAGGCATGCCACAGAAAAACTGCATATCTAGATATTTCTGTCCTATCTTTGACACCCCCATGGTTCTTTTAATAAGCATGCAATATCCCCAGAACATGCGATAATTTACATATAATCACATATATTACACTACAATCCATATCCTTATATACATACTAAAAGCATAGGCCCATAAAATCAGTTTTCCACATATGTACGAATACAGACCAGATGTACCATGAATAAATAGTACTATTAGCAGGTGTTCACACACACTAATAGTGCTTCATATTTATGCCACAAAGCGACATATATAGAAGAGTGTCTTTACCAAATTCTGTCGTTAGGTAAATATGACACGATGTAAACAACTCTGCCACATATATCCAACAGAATTTGAGTAGGATACACCATATTAAAAGGTACTCAAAGATATTAAGAAAAGATAAAGATATACAAGGGTCCTAAAGACACAACGTATACCAAAGACGACATATGGTAAGACAAGATAAACAAAACAGCAAAATATACGGATATAAAGAGACGATATGGAAAAAATTCAAGATAAAGGTATCAAGACACGGCAAGCATAGCATGTCTATGAAAGTAAAAAATAGGCGTCAAGCCATCAGAACAGAAAAACCTATTACTCCGACAGTGAAACCAACTGCTGACGATAACCTTTGAATCGCTAACTCCTGCGTATAAGTTCAAAAAATTGAGATCATTAGATTCCAACTAAACCTAATAAGATTACGCATAGCAAAAATATACATGTATAAGAGTGAAAGTATATATTATTGTTAGCGCGGACCAACTTATACAGTTCTATACTCTAAATGCATATTAAAGGCGGTATTACAAACATATCAGTTAACGTATTTTAACGAGAGTCTTTTGAGATTATCACTCTGAGCCGTGTGCATATGCAAAGCGTCCCTGGTGTATGATGCCCGCTGAATCGGCAGCATTTCAATACTTCCGGCATAAGGCAGCGTCTACTGCATCGCAAAAAGAAATACTCCACACCTAAAGCAGATCTCCACAACCTTGTTCCTCCATGTTGCATTCTGACTTGCTGGTCGACATCTGTCTTATTTCGGATTCAACATCCAACACGAAAAGTTCACGGGCTGGAGTAAACTTTGTATACTCAACCAGTTTATTTCATACGGTAAACTTCCTTTTCCCCGATCTCACCATCTGTCTAGGTTAACTGTACCCGGAAAAGAACGGAATCATTCCTTAAGTGGTCCTGCCATTTAACCATTATTATGTGTCGAAGCCAACGCCGCTGTACGCTGTTCAGCCGTCGTACTCGTTCATTATTCAGAACGACTATCTCTATGCATAGATGACAGAGGCAAGACATACATGGATTTTCATAGGAAGAGTAACTCGTTTCTCAGCCCAAATACTGGACAAGTTTCCAAAGACACTCGAGGTTAGAACAATCCTCCTATTTAACTCCCACTAGACAGTACCACTGTTTGAGATGATGGACTCGAAATACATTAATTGGTCAACCTCCTAGAGCGCTTCGCATCCTTGTTTCACATGT